TAAGTAAGTCCTTAAGCGACTTGCTCGTCTCGCGCTTACGCAATGACTAAATTTCACCCCGATCGTCGGCACAGGGTTGCCAGATAAATATGGACGTAAGTCGCAGAGCTCAACAGCTGAAATAGCCCAAAATCGCAGATATTGTCAAATCTTAATAAAACCCAAAATCGCAGGTCACAAGCTTTATTAATATTTGGAAGTTCAAGCTAACTTTAAAATTATGAACACTTGTCTAATTTTTATATATCTTCTATTTAAATGATTTTTTTAACAAAATTAAATATCTACTTGAAACATTAAATCGAAGGGTTGGGGCAACAGTATGACCACTTCAGTCCAAGTTCAATGTGTTATCAATGACGATTGACGGCGACTTTTTTTATCACAAAAAAATACAGCTCTGAACTATAATATTTTCAGAAATTGTTTTAAAAAATGGGTAAAGAATAGTAAAAAGTTTATAGTTTCCACTATTTTTTATAGTATTTAAAAGCTTAAACGCAAAATGCACTTTTTTATTTTTGTTCTAATTATTTCAGAAAACTTGTGTTAAGATTTAAAAATGCACTGGTACCAATTTTCAACCGTGCTAATTTGAGACATACGTTTTATTAAACTTATCGTGTTGCGTATTTGTTGATATTAAGAGATAGATATTTAAAGTGACGTCTTGTATTACTTCGAATGAAAAATAGTTTTCTAACCTAAGAAAAAAAATTTAAATTGAGTCTTAAGTTAAGAAATGTAAGGATTTACGAATTTTCTATAGAACATGTTATTTTAAATGGTTTGAATTATCGCCCATTTTTATTTAACGAAATATGAAAATAGCCCAATCTGCGACTGGTCGCAGAATCGGAAAAACGATCACAAAACTACTTCAAATGTACCCAATCTGCGATAAATCGCCCAATCTGACAACCCTGCGTCGGCATCGCGAATTCAGAAGCACTGCGACTGCGCCGTTCACAACGACCGAGAACGTGTTTTAATACGCTTAAGTTCAGTTAAACGTAACACGTAACGTAATATTCATAGAAATAATCAAACAGTATTCGAAAACAGGATTCGAATAGCGGGATTCAAATACAAAGTGGATATTCGAATACTAGGATTCAAAAATGGTATTCTGAATCAAAAATACCGAGTACTGACTAAAAAAGTATTCAGTCAAATACAGAAAACACAAATGTATTCGAATAGTATTTGAATACCAGCCAAATGTATTCTGAATAAGATTCAAAATACCGGGTATTCGAATACTACCCAACTCTGGGTGGATTGAATTAGTAATTAAATATGCTTTCAAATAGGGTGTCACACTTTATAATACGTACAGTTTTTTAATCCTGATAGAACAATTAAAAATATCGCAATGAACAGACATATTTCTAAATTCCTCATAAAATAACCTTTTTAATGATGTACTACACATTGTAGTGTCACACTCTATAATACGTAGTAGTTTTTATCCCACTAAAAAGCGACAAAATTTAAGTAACGCAATGTACAGAAATATTTCTGAATCACTCATTAAATTACCTTTTCAATGATGTGCCATACATGATACATTACCTATTTAAAATTAAGGTGTTGGAGAAGTGCAAGGAAGGGGGCTGACACATGACAGATGTCTGTATTGTAAAAATATTTTTAATTTGGAATAAAAATCGACCTCTTTTATCATTTCCTTAAAATGCAATGATTAATGCTGAAAAACAGGATGAAACTGTTTTGAGTGACCCACTCTGTATATCAAAAATGGCTAGATTTATCGAATTAGTTCATAGAATAAAATCTACTTACAAATGCATTTTTTACAAGATGCACTTCACAAGAAAGACCCATCGAAAAAAAAAATATTGAGCGCAGCGCCATCAATTTATATCTAAAACTGAAGCTCTCTTAATGCTCTGTGAACTGGCTTTTACAGAATTAAAATATCCGACCTAGGAGTTTTTATTGGTAAACCCTGTATACCGATTTCTCTAAGGCCTCCGATAAAATCAGTCGCAAAATAATTCTGCAAGAGCTTTCTAGTTTCTTCTTAAATCATATTTAACTGCAAACAATGTGTTTGTTGTAATGGATTTAATTCTAATTACTTAACTTCAATTGATGAAGTTCCTCAAGGGTCCAATTTAGGGCCACTATTGTTCTTAATATTTATTAACGATTTGTGTGACTCGCTTGAATGCAATAGGTTAATGTTTGCAGATGACTTAAAATTATATACCAGTATCTTTAGTACAGCTGATTGTTTAACATTGCAAAATCAAATTAACCTATTGCAGGAACGGTGTCACAGAAATCGCCTCTTTTTAAATATTTCTAAATGTAAAATTGTGACTTATAGCCGCAAACATATTTCTCTGAATTTTCCTTATTCCATTAATAATATTATTTTGGAAAGAACACTATTAAAGATTTGTGTGTTCACTTTGATTATCAAGTTATTTTTAACTACAACATTAACTCTTTTGTGAATTCGGCGTACCGTGCATATAATATATATAAATAATGGAAATATGTTCAGATATTAAAAACAAAAATGCTGCTGGTTATGATGATATTTCTATTAGAGTTATCCTAAACCTTCCTGAATCAGCAATGTTAGTCCTTGCTAGTCTGATCAACCAAAGTTTCGTCGAATCAAATTTTCCGTCATTTCTTAAGACCAGTGTTATTGTTCCCATACATAAAGGCGGCAGTAACTACGATCCTTCGAACTTCAGGCCTATATCTCTAATTCCTACAGTGGCCAAAATTATTGAAAAAGTTGTAAAAAAACGTTTGATTCATTTTCTAGAAACTCACAAATTGCTGGAAACACAACAGTTTGGTTTTCAAAGGAACAAAAGTACTTCTGATGCGATATTTTCTTATCTTGAACATGCTTATTCTAGAATTAATGTTGACGATTCTGTAGCGGCGATATTCTGTGATTTAACTAAGGCGTTCGATTGCGTCAATCATACAGTACTGTTGGATAAACTTCGAGTTTACGGGATCAAAAACGGAGCGATGAGTTGGGTAAAATCTTATCTTTCAGAACGTAACAAATGGTAAGAGCGTCTCAGGATTCTCAAGTTTTAGATATTAGTTGGGGTGTCCCTCAGGGTTCTGTGTTAGGTCCCATTTTATTTCTCCTTTATGTGAATGACTTAGCTCAACTTGAAATTGCAGATACTTTCACTCTATTTGCAGATGATACTGCGATTTTATGGCACAGCAATGACACTTCTGTCCTATACAACACCATATCCTGTGACATTAAGAAAATCAAAACATGGTGCGATGCCAACTATTTGCGTCTTAATATGGGAAAAACTAAAATGCTAACCCTTAAATGTTCCCTACCAAATATTCAGTTGGGAAGTCATATTATTGAATGTACTGACACAATAAAATTTCTGGGAATTCATTTAGATAATAATTTGAAATTTAGAAACCATATAGAATTGCTAAACAGAAAACTTTCTTCTGGATGTTTTGCAGTCAGAACTGTGGCAAAAGAACTAGGTTTTAAGGCAGCAAAAAGTGTGTATTACGCCCTAGTTGAGTCCCATTTGAGATATGAAATTGCATTTTGGGGAGGTTGCAGCCGCGAATTATTCAATACTGTTTTTTGTCTGCAAAAGAGAGCAATACGATTTTTATGTGGAATGAACAAGCTTGAGTCATGTCAGCCACATTTTATTAGACATTAAATTTTAACATTAACATCGTTGTTCATTCTTGAAACCACTTGTATTATACATAAAAATAAATCGAACTATGCCAATACTAACGCTCGGCTAACGCGACAAGTTGACAACCTGCCCATACCCAAATCTGAACTGGTAAGGGGCTCTTTCATTTATAATGGAATTAAAATGTACAATAAGTTGCCAAATGATATTAAATCGATGGAAACGGTCACAACATTTAAAATACTGCTTAGAGATATGTTGATGACAAAAGCATATTATGCTTTGACGGAATTTTACAATGACTCTTAAATCGTTGTGACTGTTTGAACGTACATGTTTTTGTATTTATATAATTTTATCGATGTTGTGTTACGTATTTGTAATTGACCTCTGATTTTATATTTAACGTTTTTATACTATTTTTAAATTTTAATGCATGTAATTGTTAGTACTACATAATAATTTTATTTATAAGTGTTTGTCTATAAGTTCTTGTAGCTTTGACAATAAACATATATTGATTGATTGATATAGTTTTATAATCCGGAATTGTAAGAATTTCAATAGTCTCTTGGCATTAACTTCCCTATATTTTAGCTTAGTTAGAACAAAATTAGAATATTCATTATTCTTACATTATTGAGAAAATTCAAAAAAAATCTTAAAATTCTCAAGTTTTAAATTGAATGGATTTTATCATCCAAGAGGTTGTAACTACCTAGATTTACTACACCAATTTGATTTTGTATCATTAGAAACACGTAGAAATCAGGCATCTGTTTTGTTTTTGCATAAATTGTTAAATGGTGAAATTAACTGCACTTCGTTGCTCTTTCAAATAAATTTTTTTATACCTAGGATAACATCTAGACATAATATTACATTTCAAAGTAAACGAGCTCAAACTAATTTCTTGTCAAAAGCGCCAATTACCTTAATGTGTAATAATGCAAACAAACTATCAGATATTTGTGATATTTTGAATTCATATTAAATTTTTACTATTTTCTACTTTTTTTCTTTTATTATAATTTTTTATTTACTTATGTATTTTCTAAGTTTAATTTTATATTGTTAAATTTGCCTTGTTAATGGGAAACTTTTGGGCAATAAATGCTTATTATTATTATTATTAAGACGTCACTCTTTTACTAGTCTCAACGAAAAAATAACAGCCCTCACAAGTAGTATATTAAACACTTTTCAGACAAATTTTATGAAGGAAAATCAGGGATTTTTTCAATTAATATTATTTGTTGATATATAAATGCAATAAAAAAATGATTAACGGAAATATTTAATTTTAAGGTATGGGACCTTACAAGTAAACCAACATTGGAATACACTATACATACCATAGGATCCATAGGACATGTAAAATGGCGACCGCAAAAAAAATTCCACATAGCCAGCTGTGCTATAGTTATAGATTGTAGTATAAACATATGGGATGTACGCAGACCTTATATACCCTATGCTTCATTCAATGAACATAGAGGATTTCCCAGTAGCGTGCAATGGAAAGGAGATCCTGAAGTGTTTTTAAGCTGTGGAAAGGTGAGTTTATTATTTACGTGTTTTCTAATCCATCGAATTGGTTATAAATAATGAATATTTTTTTGGACTTTTTTAAATCTAAATTGTTTTTGTTATACACACACTTAAATTGATGCAGTTAAAAAAAACGATATACTAACAATGTGATAAAGTTAGTCCAGGATGACGGGCTTCAAGCTATTTTCCGTTAAAATTAAGTCTCTAAATTTGCATACGGTCTATTTTAGAGAAATCATGTATAGGAAAAGAATTATAGAGAATGACATCACAAACAACTTTTATTTGAACAATTTTCTTAAAAATTCGAATTTTGTACTTTTTGTCAAATTTCTCGAATACGGACCATTTTAGGAAAATTATTTATAGAACAAAAATTATAGAGACTAATATTACAAGCAACTTTTATTTGAAGAACTTTCTTCTTCGAGCTTAAGTAACAGATATATTCCATAAAGTAGAAAAACAACCCTCTATAAAGGACCCTCCAGATGTTCTGACTGTGCCCAAAATGTAATCACCTCACCGCAGGATGGATTAAAGCTTAAAATTTAAATTTTGGTGTTTCTCTTTATCCATTAATAATTTCAGTTATCGAGTATACAGACACACTGACAAAAAAAATCATGATTCTTATACTTTCCTTATCTATAAACGACAGGAAAGAAAAATCACAAAATTAAAATTGTAATTTAAAAAATCCTTTAAATACTTAAATTTTATATATGTCAAGAAGCATGAAGCAAATTTATTTAAGTATTTGTTCAATTAATATTGTAATTTTTTGTTTCATTCTGGCTCATATTTAAAACAACACCTACATTTATTTTTTGGTTAAAAAAGTACGTTGATAAAACTAAATTTACTAAGCATTAATAATAATAATAATAATAATTTTATTCATCCAAAATATACATTACAGTTAAAACAAAATTAAAATACAATAAAAACTAATAAGTTTGATATGAATAAGCTACTTGATAAGTGATAAATCACTTGTTTCAAGAAGAAAATAAAAGTTATTAAAATAATTAGTTTGTGACTAGAATAGTCACAACTTATTTTACTAGAACTATCAAGCAAAATTTACTATATTTTACACTCTAAAAGTAGGAGATTATAAGTACAATAATTATAAACATATACATAGACATATACACACTAAAATAGAATATAATAAAGTAAAACCAATTAAATAACAATAATAATAACAGACGTGCAGTGTAGGAAAAATTATAAAACTATAGTTATTTATGGTAATAATTTTATATGTATAGTCGTATTTCTCTTTTATATATACTAGAACCCCAGCATTTGAAACATCTTTTTGTTTTGCATGTAAATAATATCTGCTGACACTTAATTACTGTTTATCATGGAATATATTTATTTTCTAGGATTCTACATTGTACCAGCATTCCTTTAATGATGCTTTTCGTCCAGCTGCAAAAGCTAATCCTCAAGGTTTAAGTGTAAATAATAAAGGAGAAGTGATTTTTGCTAGAAAAAATCCTCCGTTTCATACTGCTGCCTCTACCACTGCCATTACTACACCTACTTCTTTAGCTAAAGCTACTGTTGGGCTTATGAGGTAAAAAAGATAACATTTTGAGGCGGAGCTAAATATTTCATCTCTGTATTGCGACTTTTAGAAAAATATCGACAACCCAAGTCATAGACCAATTTCATCATGCTTCCAGCAGCTTACAAAATTTCTTTCATTTAAATGAAGCCGCCAATTCTGAATCTCAAAATATATTGGCTTTGGCTAAAAACTATGTTCTGCATGGAAGGAGTATATCGGAATTGTGTGAACACAATTCTACGGTAGCTAGAGAATTTGGAAAATCACATGTAAGCATTATAAATAGATATATTTAACTATTTCAGATTTGAATTACAATGTTTATAGCTAGTCAAAGAAAGCATATAAAAAATATATATACAAACTATAAGAATAAACATATTAATACAAAAAGTACAAAAACAGCACATATGTGGAAAAAAGTTTATAAAATATAATTATGGATGAGTTTTTTACTATATTAAATATAACAATTTTGTATTTAGTTTTAAATTTTTACCTTTTCTTAAAATTTCTAAACTATCTTCGAGTGACTCAAAAATTACTTTTATTGGCCTAGGTTTAACGTTTTGTGGATCATACATCTTAGGAGTGGTTGACAATCCTGGGTTTAAATACTTTGAAAGTTCCATGCAGTTATCCTTTTCTTTTTGATGGTTTTGATCTTATGGTAGACTGAAAATCATATTTTTCTTACATTTTCCCTATCATTTAGTTTTGCTATGAATTCATTAATATTAGGAAGATCATTTAAGTTTGACAAGGATAGTGTGGGTTTCTTGTTCCTTAGGGATCCAATTTCATTATCGGTTTCTAACTTGACCTTTTTTAAAGTATTTATTTCTTCCTTCAGAAAAGTGATGTACTTTTTCATTGTATTGATTTCTGGTGGATTTCTAACAGTTGAATCCCCCACAAATATTAAGTACTGCCCGAAGGCACGCTTACCAAAATGGATTGTCTCCTGTCAGTGCTGGCTGCCACCATCTCTATGTGGACAATGAAAATTTAACATGTAAAACAATTTATTGTGCACAAATGCTGCATGACAAAACTTTGTACTTATTTACATTCCTTCACTTAACTATTGCAGTACTAGGACATTTTGTTTTACTATCGTTGCTCAGAGAACTTAGTATTTTTCATACAGGTGAGAGACGACCCTTACTTGATGAAGGTATGAATCGCTCTGCGGATTTTTAATGTTTTAAAGAGAGAGATGGACATATGACCATGTCACCTAGACCAGTTTCGCGCGGGAGTTTTTTCATCGTGCCTGGTCTTGGTCACGTATACTTGTTGTTAGCCGTTAAGAAATGAACACCTGGCTTCGCGAGCACAGGACCGTCTTTTATATGTTTCAAAATTCTTTGTTTTGGAACAGATTTCTTTTACAAGCATGGGCCCGCTTTTCAGATCCTCCCTGCATTCTCTACAGTAAGAGAGAGTTCCATTGCGTTGAACTAATATTAGTGCCCCATATTCAGTCACAGTGATTCCTGAACAATTTTTTTTTCTTTGACATTATAGTGAAAGAATTATTTGTAACAGTCTCAAAATACTAAGGTGTCTTTGCTATCATTACAGATCAAGTTACCATTGTTGCAGAGTAACTATTTTGTTTTAACATAAATCCTTGTTCCTTGCCGAAAATAGCAACATGTTCATTGTTAATACAACATACCGATAAACCTTTGCAAACTATAAATATGTGCTTATTTCTATAATATATTGTATAGAAAAAATTCAGTATCCAACCTTTGTTTTACTTTTATTTTCTATTGCTAGAATGTTTTTGGATCTCTCATTTTTTAGGTATCAGTAATTTGGAAGATCATAAAAACTATGTACGGAGAAGAATTTATGCAAAATTCCATAAACTCCAGCAGTTCGAACAGGGAGGAAGTCCCACATAACAATATTAGTAAGACTAGTAATATTGGAACTGGAGTTATTCAAATGGAAAATTCAATAAATAATATTAGAGATTTAGAGACTGAACCAAATTGTAAGGGTAAGCAAGAAAACTTCCTCTTAATTATTTTTGGTCATTAATTGATTTGTAAATTAAAATAAATAAGGTATTAAAAATCTTTAACGAAAAAATAAAAAATGCTTTCTTTCAGCTGCTAGTGATACCCAGACTGCACAATTTAGTGGTGGCGATGATGAGACTGAAACTGAAGATCAAGTAGACCATATTGCTGCTGCATACAATGGTTTTCCGAGTTACCTTAATGTTAGAAGCGGTTTGCCAAAAGGAGACTTTTCTTTTGGAGAAAACGAATTAGATATGGAATTAGATAGCCTCGATTCAGGTTAGTTCAATGAGTTATGACTAGCCTCAAATCAGGTTAGTGAAAATATTTTAGTTTTGATTTACCTGTAGTCTTATCCGCAACATCCAAGGAAGGTGAAAGATGTATTAATGATTTATCTTTCGTTGTGCATGATTCAAGAGTTTTCTGTTTGGCTAGTACCCACAAAAATGGTATTTTATTCTTAAAGAAACAGTAATTACAATTTCAATTAAAAGTCACTGTTCTTGAACGATGTGCTCCCCGTTGGGTTGATGGATGTTGTAGATTGTGAAATGTATTTTTTTGGCAGTAAATCTCTTTATTTCATTATGACCTAGCAAGATCTTTTGTAAATATCCTGGGTCTAGTGAGATCTTAGATCTCTCAATACTTTAGTAAATCAGCTACTATGCCTGGCTCTTCAGGAAGTAAAGTCCATGTTCTAGATACTTTAGCCGATTCCTTGCCAGCTATCTACAGGGAAAAAGAGTGTAAGTGGACTCTTTCTTCTGCGCCAAAGCTTAAATGACATTATAATATTTGACCAACTTGTCTTGTTAATTTATGTAAATTGTAAGAAATTAAAATTTGTATGAATTAGATGGTTACTTTTAAGTTGAGGACAATGTCCGATAAGAAGTCCGATAGTCTTCATTGCAGATATTGAAACTGAACCTGATAACAGTGGCGGCTCGTTTCCTAGTCTACAGGGGAGCTACTTTTGAAAGGCACTTAATATAATATATAAAATTTATCAAAACTTACCAAAGCACTTTAATCTTCTGTTTTTCACTGTCCCAAAGTGTTCTACCACTTTTGTCGTCAAAATTGTCGCAGCTATGCTGTACCTACAATCTTCGAATTCGCTAAAACATTGGTCTAATTCGTTAAAACACATATCTACTTGTTTTTATTATTCACTTGCCTTGAAAATCGTCTTTTATATGAACTTTTGTCTGCCCGAGTAAGTTTTAAATCGGGAATAGGTCTTCCAAAGATTTAATATGCAATTTTTCTACCAGCAAAGTCTTGAAAAATTATTTTTTTGCATATTTTGTACACCATTATTTATGTTATAAAAATGCCGTAACCAAACAACCCCGAAAATAAAAATATACTAACAATATTTCCAAATGCCGCTAAATATGACTATGAAACACATCTTTCATTCATTTGTGGAAGGAAATTAATGTTTATTTTCATATTTCTGCAATGTGTACTTATGTGAACTTATTTTCATTTTATAGAATCAATTTTTAAAATTAAAATTTTATTTAAACATTTAAAATACGTCATGAGAATGAAGATTTATTAATAGGAAACATCTGGTTTTATTATTTAATTACGAAATAATTTTTTGATGAAAGCAACTTAAATTGCAAAGTCAAATATTTTGTTTTATAAAATGTAATTGTTAAGTCTTCACTTATTTAATATATTTCAATTTGAAGTAATTATTATCATCCAGTATGAAAGGACTACCTTATTAGTTAAGTGGTCACAGGCCACCGTCGTTAAGAACGATTTGTCTTTTGAACCGGGCTGTATCGCTTTGACTACCTAAAGTACACATGCTTGTGTTAAAATTGTAGTTCGGTAAACTCGCTAAACTTTCCTGGCACATTCAAATACAGTCTACACCCTTCAGAGTCGGGGCATGCACGCCCAACAAGGAGCCAGGTTAACAAAAATCGAAAGGTAAGACCAGATTGGTGAAGCTTCAAAATCTTACTTAGGGACCGCGACATACCGGCATCGTACCCATAACATATGCAGTAATATTAAATATGATAATAATAAAAGATCTCTATTTTATATCAAATGTACATTTGTTCTGATAAAACAAACATTAAAACTAAACGACAGTGGCATTGAAGTCTTTTTCTGCTGGTCTGTTGACCGTGGCGAAACTTCTTGTGTCCTGACTTTATAATTTTGAGATATTAAATCTATTAAAGTGAGTTTTTCGTTATTTGAGAGAAATATATTCTGATATAGCTTTAGTCGCATGTTTGGTTGGTTGAATTCTATTTGTGTGAGCCCTTAGATACAGTGATTTGAGAACTTTGGAATGATGTCGACTCATGTGACATGCACTATATTTTTACTGTTAAAAATGCTTTGTATTTTTAACAACTATTCTTTAAGACTAAGTACCATTACTACGAACCATTGCGGTATACCTGCTTTTTATTTTTATAAACCTTCTTACTCATGTACTCTAATTTATTACACACTATTTATTAACACTTCTTTTTTATACATTTCTTTGTAGTTACATCTAACTATTGCATGCTGTGCAAAGTAGAGTTTGTTCAATTTGAATACAAAATTATACTGACCAATACCACAATTCGCCCTCACTTGATTTGTGAAGGTGATTGCTATTTTTTAGACTTCCCTACTGGATGCAGAGGTTTTAACCATGTAACTACGGATGGACCGGACTGGATACTGCCGAATGAAGCTTTTCCATTGCGGCATGAACTTCGGGACAGGTCTCCACCGCCAGAACAGTTTCCTAATCATCCTTCACCGGATCTTCCTGAAGAGCCCCAAGCTTTTCAGGTTAGTTTTTTTGAAACTTATTTTATAACATTTTTGTACTACTTTAAAAAAATGTGCAAATTACCGAAATCTGAGTTTTTTTGTAATAACTAGTTTTCTATCGACCTTACAGTAAAAATTGTAAAATACATAATGAAAGGTAAATACATTATCTATCAAAAACGCTATGTGTCAATATTTTCTGAGCAGGTATCAGATAGTAGATAATGTTTGACGAATGGTACTCATATAATGTTGCGGTTTATGCTTTAAATCATAAGAGTAGAAAATGAGCATTGCTTGAGAGTTGAACACTAAACTTTTCCTATGGCTATAATACACTTTTACCAGTTTTTTATTAGTTTCTATAATTTATAAAATTAAAATAACAGTTCTCTTTTAGAAGGAATTATGGATTATATATTTTAATATTTCCAAAATTGCATATTCAGTTTTTGGATTTCAACTAATTTTCTAACCTTTCTTTGTTATTTCACGTTTACTTTGCACCATGCTCAAAAACTTGGACAGTGGAAAACGAACTTGTAATAACTACACAGAAAATTCATATTTGATAAAATATAACTTAATAATTATTAATTTATTAGTTTTAAGTTTTATATTTTTTCCAAAGTGAAAAGATTTAATAATAAATAAATAATTTTCTGTTTGCCGTTTTATGACACATAATTTTATTAAGATAATTAGGGAATTGCCACTTTGTATTTTCAGAATTATCAAATAAGGAAATAGTTGAGAAGTGCAATTTTGTATTATCTCCATAGAAAATTGTAAACTTTACACTTTTAGGTGGAAGAAACTACACCACCATTAATATCTGTACCAAAAGCTCCAAAAAAATCGATGTGGGATCCCAGCAACTTAGTCATAGAAGCACTGAAACATCATGCCATATTGGGAGATATACAAACGGCGGCTTGCATACTTATAGTTTTAGGAGACTGTAGGAGGTTTTTACGAGACCTAGATGAGGCAACACAAGAACATTGGTTATTAGGTTATATTGAAATACTTAGCAGTTACAAATTATGGAATATAGTTACACAGGTACAAATTTTATTTTTTTTAAATCTCGTAGTTTTTTTTTTTTAATCAGTTTCGTTAACGATTTTGAATTATTCATATACATTCTTTTTTTATTTGTGTATCTTTTAGTTAGACATTTGTCCTCAGATATTTTTTTAGTCTTTATAATTATTTCCCAAGTAACATTATTTATCCTTAAGTACGAAAGCTTATTCATATTCTCAAATATGGAAACATTATTCAATCGAATAAAGAAAACTCTAAATCATTACTACATAAAATACAACTTATTGTTTTTTTTAAGTTACAACTAGTTTCAGGTACTTAGATGTCAATATAAAAATAACTAAACTATAATAAGTTACGTCAATGTCTCTTGACATACCAGGCCAATCATTATTTCTCTCGCTTGGTTTTTAGTTTGTCTTTCCCTAAATGACCGAAATGTAAATTAATAAGGTCCCATAAGTTCTTGGTCACAGTGACTATTATGACACCTGTTACCACTAGTAGAGAATTTTATAACCGTTAATTTCCACCCTCCAGACTTCATTAGTCCTAATAGTTCTTAAAATATAAGAGTAGCACTGTACATCATATATGATTTTAGGTATATTATTATTGTAAGTATCAATATTAGTCAAAGTGTTAAGTAATTTGATACAGTTTAGTTGTTTTTTAAATTACAGGCCTAATGCTAGGCAGCAAAAATTTCAGTAAACTTTATTTTATGTGGTATTTATTTAGAGTTTTCTCTATTGGATTGGATTACTTATCCTCGTTTATAAGTAACACTAAAAACAGTTGTATATAAAAGTTTCGTTTCAGGTTATAAAACTTTCCTGGCTACCCTCAGTCTATCAGCTCAACCAGCAAAGCACACGTATCAACACAAATTGCGGAAACTGTACAAAACCTTTGCAAAGGGTGGGATGGCTTTGTGACAAATGTCATTCTTCTGGGTATGGTGTATGTTGTATTTGTAATCAAGTAGTTAAAGGACTTTACGTTTGGTGCCAAGGCTGCTCACACGGCGGACATGTGGCCCATATGAGACAATGGACTTTACAACATAAAACGTGTCCAACTGGATGCGGACATTTATGTGAATATGGATGAAATAAAAGTAGAACTAGTTAAAAGATGATGAAAAGTACACAGAACACAACAGATTATAACTAAAATGCCTTAGTGGCGGGTTGTACAAATAATGATATAAACTCAGTCTAGCTAACAGGAGTTTAATTTTTAACTGGTTATATTCAACGTACAAATGTCATTTTTAAAACTATGTTTAACTGATTACAGTTTAAACTAATATTATATTTTAACTGTCATTTGTACAACCCGCTCTAAGTGAATTTTAAAGCTAAACTGAGAAAAATAAGACCATTGTCAAATATATTTTGGCATAATTTGTAGGTGTTAAAGACATCTTCATTCACTACTTATGAGTTAACTTAGGTAGCTTTTAAATTTGGTTACAGTCCAATATTCTCATTTTCCATCGATACCAAATAGTGTTACTAAATAAGAATATTGGACTGCAATCAAACTTTCAAAGAGTAAATGGAAACAGGGTAATATCAAATGACAAGTTCCGTTATGATAGTGTTCTGGAGTAATAATAATGAAAGTATTTGTAATAGTTATGCCAGCTTAAATTAGTTGGGAGTGTAAGTGCTTTGGAAGAAGCATTGACAATGTGTTGTTTATTGTATAAATTGTAAAAGAGAGACGAGGTAGAAAATGACAAGTGAGTTCCTGTACCAATAAATAAATACATTTAAACATAAAAGAGTGTTTTATATTTTTTTACTCTTGCTCTTAAGCATGAGTTTCCGTATTTTTTAAAACCTATTTCTATTTTTTTTTTTTTTTTTAATTTGGTGTCATCGGCGTCGACTACTACGGCCATTAGCCTCGGGTTCTGTGTAGGCTTTGTTACTGTTTCCCAGCGCCACTTTAGGAACAGCACTGTTAATTAGAACCCAACAGTGAATGGTCGAGTGGGGAATCCTACCAAGGCATCAGAATTAATTTTAAATAATTAAATGAAAAAATCCCGGCTAACGGTGGGATTCGAACCTGAGACCTTCCGATCTCAAAGTCATGACTCTAACCACTGAGCCAACCCACCCCCCACCTATTTCTATTGTTTTAAGTTAATTTATGGAGAAGATTATACATGGTATACTCGGACAAAATATTGAAGAAGGTGATTCCTTCCTGTTCACGTACAACAATCATACTATACCAGAGCATTATGAATGGAATCACGCGCTTAAAACTGCAGAAGTTATCGGAATCACGTGCCAACTAGTCATAAATGCATGTTTATTGCCAAAATGAATTACGCCAGTGGCGTATAAAAACTATTGGCAAATTAAATGCGGTAATAGTAAATAATATTATATGAAAGTAGGTTGGTTATCTATTTTTGTAGTAATAATCATTTATGTTTATAATTTTGTTTTGTTTATTGTTAAAATATGTAAATATTATGCCAGTGGCGTAGAAACACTATTGGAAAATTAAATGGGGTATTATACTAGAACAAAATATTGAAGAAGGTGCGCCTTAAAACTGCAAAAGGTATCGTTATCATATCAAAATGCAAGTAAGTTGGTTATCTATTTTTGTTATAATAATTCATTTATGTTTATAATTGTATTTTGTTTATTATAAAAATATGTAAATTAAGCTTGGTATCACTTACTTGAATTCTAAATCTATGAAGTTTCGTAATACATTGATTCTGCAGAACTATCACTGGAATAGTCTTTATCGTCGGAACTTAAAGTTATGACTAAAGGTTCAACTACCGTTTCGATCATACCGTCCAAGCGCTACATATTATTTTCTTCCTTAATTACATTGCCAATTTTAAAATACTCTAAAGATGGAGTTACACCACGCTAGAGTTCAATTTGTCGCCCTTATCACGAAGTAGCATAAGTAGCAAATAGTAAAGCAATAAAACGAAAATACGTAAATTCTCAGATCGACATAATATAGAGGAATTTAGAGTTTGCGCTTTCAAAACTTTATCATGGGCTGCTAAGGCCTTGTTTTATTGTTTGGTAATTCCAGATTAGCCAAACACCCCCAGGATTTAAAAAAATAAAATTGAAATAATCAGTTATGCCACTTTGTGGCAAACAATTTTCTCACTTTATCAGACAGACCTTAATTAAGTATATTTTATTAGTTTAGTTGTCATTGTTTTTAATGCAATATTATGTATGTTTTATCTGCCTGTAATTATATTTAGTTCAGGTATAGGAAATAAACAAATGTTTAATGTTTTTATTAAGAAAAATAACTGAAATCTAATGATTAAAAATAGTTGAAATTGCATTTAAAACTATCATTCTTCATGAGGTAATTCCTGATAATATTACTGGAATTCAGGTAATCGTACCACGGGCGTTTGACTTTGACTTACGAAGATTAGGTCAGAATACTGTTTGCTTGTTAGTTTTATTGGTTCTGTGTTGAGAGGTTCTAATTTAATATCACAAATATTTTATGTCAGTCTTTTTACTTCAATACTGTCATATTCTTTATGGTAATGACTTCGTTTGAAAAAGAAATTAGAAGGCATGTCTCTTCGGACCATAAATTCCATAATTTCAGTCCTCTTTAAATTTTCTCCTGACGCACTTTCTCTAATTGATACAATTCTTATATATTCTAACAGTTTTTTAAAATCCAAGAAATCTGAGTACTTCGTTGTAATGACAAACCAAGGTTGTTTTCTTCTGGCCAATCGAAAAATTGAGTACCGTTGTGAGGGTTCAAAAAGATCCCCAGCACCTATTATGGCAGTACTTATTCTACTATCGGCAGAGTCCCCCTCACTCTGCCCATTGTTTGTTTAGAAAAACCTTAGTGATATTTTTTCACAATTATCAAAGGATTTTTATTCTGGCCATAGCAGCCGTCAGATTAGAAAAAGGGTAGTAATTTTGTCTTTATTCTTAAAATATTCCCAAGGTTTATAAATACATGTAGATTTCAGAAGAATCTCTCTTACTCACAGTTTTATTCAATGGAAAGCAAAGACATTCTTTGGTACCAATATTGTAAAAAGTAAAGTTAAATGTTCCTTATCATGTTTTGTAGTAAATAGCATTCTCTTTGTTTCTTGGCAAGTATATAACTTGATTTGTTTTCTACTGTTCTTTTTTTGTCTACAGCTTTTAACTCTCGAACTTTTTGCTCCTCTGCAATATTCTGTGTGTACTTGTCTTTTAAATTTTCTTTTACAGTGAGATCTCCTTGAAACTAAGTTATTAGAGAGAATATTGATTCTTTTTTGGATTGTAGAAAGATACATTTTGCTATTTAAATATTTTTCGGTACGTACTATAACTCGGTTTGTTTGTAAAATTTGTTTTTTCAAGATGCTCCAAAAACATATTGTACATCTTGGACAAGGATAAGTCAGAATGTAAGTACGTTCTGGAAGTTGTCGATGTGCACTCATAAGATTCGACACAAAATAAACATAGCAGCTGTTCAGTTAGGTTGCAGTTTATCCTGTGGATCATATATTATTTTACTTCACTAAGTTACCTTAAGTCACTTTAGAACAGTTCGTGAGGAAAATATTCTGCGATATTGCAGATAGGACACAGAAGTATTATGATGTATTGCATGCACTATTAAGGATGTAGATATGCCACTTCGTGAGATGATAAAGCAGGTCAAGACTAGTTAATCCGCACAAAAAAAACATTTTTTTAATTGTTGTTGCTTAGGTCACTTCGTGATAAGGGCGACGAATTGGAGTTTTATTACTAACTACTGTTTCTAAAGATTTTTATTTCCTAATAAATGTAAAAAAAAATACTAAGTTTAACAATATAATATTACGTTTTTACTGGTGTTTTTTATACTGCCGTTAAAAGAATTTTGAAGAAAGGTAAACAGTCAATGGAAACAAGTGGAAAAATTACATTTTCCACACCTAGGAAAAACTTCGTCAAAAAATCAACCGCTACGAATCTCCCTGAATATCAATTGAGGGACATTTGAAGAATAATTTACGATTTTCATATAACAGAAAAGTCTCGTGTTACTGTTAAAAGGTTAAATAATAAAATTAAGGAAGATTTAGATATCCACATATCAGAAACTTTATTAAGAAGAGTCCTTAAAAAATTACAATTTAAGTGGAGAAAAACACAAAATAATCGTAAAGTTTTGGTGGAAAAAATGAAAATAAGAACTTTAAGAGTAAAATATTTGAGACAGATAAAATATTTTAGAAGTCAAAATAGACCAATCGTTTATTTAGATGAAACATATATACACAGCAGACATACTTCTTCCAAGAATTGGACAAACGATTCAACAAAAAGTTTGTTTTCTGTTATTTCTAAAGGCCAAAGGCTTATTATAGTTCACGGTGGGGGAGAAATAGGTTTTATCAAAAATAGTTTGTTGATATTCAAATCAGGGACCAAGTCTGGAGATTATCATTTCGAAATGAATTCGGAAAATTACGGCAAATGGTTAAGAGAGAAGTTAATACCTAATCTTCCACCTAATTCAGTAATTGTTTGTGATAATGCTAGTTATTACAATGTACAGACAGGGCCGCCGAGAACCAGGCCGGGCCCCAGGACAATTCTCTAGATCGGGCCCCGTGACAAATAAAAATATTCTCTCCTCTTACTTAAATTTCTCTACAAAAAAAAACTCTTCAAACAAAAACTTTTCTTCCTCTACTTGAATTAAATTTTCTAAAAAAAAAAGACTTCAAGCAAAAACTTTTCCTCCTCTACTTGAATTGAATTTTCTAAAAAAAAAGAAGCTCTTCAAGTAAAAACTTCCCCCTTTTATCTTGTGCCGAACTTCTGAAAGAAAACAAAAATCCTCGTTGTGGTTGCCGGGCCCCCATTTGAGTCCGGGCCCCGGGAATTTGTCCCGGCTGTCCCCCCCCTCTAGTCGGCCCTGTGTACAGACAAATCGAGCACCTAATTCCAATTCTTTGAAGAATGATATGATCGAATGGTTGACAAAATACAACATACCTTTTAATCCAACAAGTTTGAAACCAGAGTTATATGAACTGATTAAATCTCATAAGGACCGACATGTAACATATGCATTTGATGAGTTGTGTCGAGAATACGGCCACACCGCTTTACGGTTACCCCATATCACCCCGACTTGAACCCTATCAAATTGATTTGGGCAACTGTTAAGAATAATGTCAGTCAAAGGAATGTTACCTTTAAATTAGAAGACGTAAAACAATTAGCAGAAGAATAATTTAACAAAATCGGAATGGAGGAATGGAAAAAGCGATGCGATCATGTTATAAAGGTAGATTTATGTTCGGAAATTAATCCTATCGTCATTAATCCTAATGAGGATTCCAGTGATGACAGTAACGAGTCTTATTCCAACGAAGACATATGAACATTATTTATTTGTGATTTACTGTTAACGTTGTTTGTATTAACTTATAGGCTATATAATATATATAAACATGTTTTTGTTTTCCTTAAATTTACGTAACATCAGAAGTTATTTGGACTATCCAGTTTTGAAATGAAGACCCGGTATAAAAAATCGGAAGGATATATTACTTCATACACATATTATTTCATATTTTGTTTATAAAAAAATTAATGTCAGTTAAAATACAAAATACTAGACCATCAGAGCTCTCCTTAACCTAAAGTCGGCTTACCAAAAAATAATGATTTTTTAATTGACTATAGAATTATGTACTAATAATAACACTAAGCAATATGTATGAACAAGCATCATTCAC